TGCAGGCCCTCCCGCCTGCCCCTCACATCTTCCCAATAGCTGTTGGCTGACTTGCTGTTCGCAAGGCCCACTGCCTTTTGGCTGAAGCTTTTGTAGAACCAGCCATTCCCCCCACCCCCTAGTGGGGGCTCTGGAGTCTGTGTTTAGCCATTTATATCTACTTTAGCTCTCAAGTCCAAATGAGAATTGGGGACCATGGGATATGGGGGTGGGCGAGGTGGGGAACCTTTGTGTTGTTGAAGGGCCTGGTTTTATGGCTCCCTGTGGAGCCCAGGCTGTGCTTACCAGTTAGAGATAAGCCAGCAGTCAAGTGTGTTCTCAGTCCTCTGTGACCCACTGTTGTCGGCTGCGTGCTTCTCCTGTCCGCTCCTGCTGTCTCTCTGCCTGGGATGGCTATCCTGTTCACTGAGACTTAGCCATTCTTCTGCTGGTCCCAATGCTCTTTGGCCGCTTGCATTTGCTTGGCTCTGGTACCAAATAGTTGGGATTCCTGATGAAATCCCCTGCCCCGCGTGTCAGTGCAGATGCTGTGACTGCCACCCACGTCCCCACAAGTGCCCTCTGCCCAAGCCCGTCCTGGTATTGACTTTGCAGCTGAGTTCCGAGGTGCCTTTCCTGGATCCCTCCTCACTGGACCCGAGTGTGGTGGCAGCTCGGGCTGGGGCCCCTGGTTTCCAGAGGGTCTGGGCTGTTTCGGCTGCTGTAACTAGATTTAGTTCAGTGGTGCTCTGGAGGAGACCGGGAGAAGGGTTGAAGTGTGAGGCTGGGTGGATGGGAAAATTAGTTTTGGTCTTCACATCTCTGGTTTCATTTTTGCTGTCGTAGCGCTTGTTGCTGTCTCTATGTTAAAATGCCAAAAATGATCTAGTTGTCGCTTTCCTCCTGCTCCAGCACTCCACAGCAGCTTCTGGCTTTGTGAGGTGTTTGTCTCAGCCAGTGCCATGACCTGGCAGGAACAGATCTGGGTTCCCACTGTCTCCCATCATGTGTCCGACTATAGTCCGTCGGGACAAGCTTCTGCAAAACTAACCTGCTTTGTCCGGTTTCCCCCAGACACCACCTCTCGCTTCCACTTGCCGCCTGAGCCTTCCTGGTCTCTCTCTGGCTAGTGCTGCACAGTGTCTGCTTCTGCTGTCCTGGAGGTCTCCTGAAGTTGTGTGGTCACCAAGAGGGCCAAGGACGCAATAGCCCTGAGCTGAGCTGGGCTCATCTTCCAGGGAGCAAATTAAAGCCAGCAGTCAGCCCCCCTGGATGGAGGATGTGGTGGGGGGGTACGCAGAAAGTATTTTCTGGGGAGAGATCCTTGGGCTCGGCCACAACCCCTTCCTTAGGCTAAAATGTCCACTGAGCTTTTCCACTCCGAAACGCCTTTAGAATGGGGGTGGTGGGTAGCCCTGGGTGGGAACTACTCGGGATGCCCGTGGGCTCCTGAAGTCTTCCGTTCATCAACAAGAGGGTAGCATGAAGGGAACAGCGAGGATGTGATTTGGTTGAAGGTGCCTGGTTTAGTGCTGTTAATTGTCTTATTTTTTTTTTATATATATATTTCTTGGAGTAAACATTTTAAATAAATGGCATCATTGTTTACTCTGCCTTGGCTCTCGTGTTTCCTCTTAAGTAGCATGGACTGTGTCCTCAGCCCTGTGCAAGTGCGCCATAAGTGTGTCCAAAGAGGGCTGGAGAGATGGTTAGAGCACTGGTTGCTCTTCTAGAGTTTAATTCCCCGTAACCACATGGTCACTCACCAACCATCTGTAATGAGATATAGTGCCCTCTTGTGGCCTTCAGGGTTACATGTAGGCAGAACACTCAACATAATAAGTCTTTATAAAGTGTCCGAAGAGGATAAAAGTATCCTTTAGGGAGCTTCTGGGCCATCCTGGGCTAGAGAGGTGCAGAGTGCCCTGCCTGGCCCTAAGGGATGATGGCCAAGGGGCCACAGAGGAGCTCCAGAACACATGTGGTCCCAGGTCAAGAGCTGTTTTGTGCATGGGGTAAGGTCTCATATAGCTCAGGCTGGCCGCCTCCTTCCACCTTTTGGGTTCCCAGCATATGTGAGGTGTCAGCCCTCAAGTAAATCTTGCCCAGGCCTTGGTTAAGGGACTCATGCTGAGCGTGAAGGTGGCTAGCCGTTGATGTTCCTGGGGTCAGGTGTGTTAAATGTGGGTTATAAGGTCTTGCTACATAGCCATCTTGGGCCTGAAATTTGCTGTGTACACTAGGTTGGCCTTGAACTCAGATCTACCTGTCTCTACTTTGCAGGTGCTGGGAGTAAACGTGTTTGCCACTATGCTCACTTAGATGTTTATCTTAAGATGTTTTTGCCCTGGGCTTTTTTAGGTTTGGGTCTGGGAGTCAAACCTGCATGAGCCAGCACACTGAGTTTTATCCACTCTAGCCCTGTGAGGGGGGTCTGTCAGAGTCAGAGCGCCTGTAATCCCACACCCCCAGACTTCACAAGAGATCGGAGGCTATTTGGCCGCTTCAGTTTGGCCAGTTACCCACCAGGGGGCGCAGAGGAGCCAGCCTTTTGTTTCATGCCAGAGGACTGCACTTGGACTGAGGGTCCCCGAGGGCTGCCATACATGTCTGTCATCTGCAACACACACCAACAGTCTTGAGGTTTGGGTCATTGTTCCTGTTTTACAGAGGAAATGAGTTGTCGTGTGATGAGCGTGGTCACAGGGAAGGGGGGTTGCTGGGCTAACCTGTGCCGGGAACCTCTGCTGAAAGGCTGCAGTCATCCATCCCCCCACCCCTGCCCCACCACCCTCCAGAACGGCCTAAGGGGAGTTTGCAGTAGAGCCGAAGAGACCCCACCCTGACCTTTTACAAGCTGCGCTGGCAAGACCTGGTGCTGCAGGCCGTGCTGGTTGCTGGAGAAGCTGTCTGGAGAGGCCAGCAGCCTTCCTATCCCTCTATGTCACAAGCTTGTGAAGATGCGGGCCCCAGGTGGCCAGCTGTCACACACTTGCCCCTGTTGGGAAGGGAGGCGTTGTGGGGTCATGTAAGACCCCGGTTCCCAGTGGACTACAATGTTAGAGGCCCAAGGAGCAGCCTTGTCCGTCACTAGACAGGAGTTAATGCCTGCAGTGCCCAGGTATTGTTGAGGAGCGAGGGTCAGCAAAGGTGGACAGCAAATGAGTAATCTAAAATTTTACTAGTATATGTAGGGGTGTTTTGCCTTTATATATGTGTGCATCATTTGCTGTGTAGTGCCCAGAGGCCAGAAGACAACCCGTGGAACTAGAATCACAGTTGTGAGCTGCCATGTGGGTGCGGAGACTCGAACCTAGGTTCTCTGGAAGAGCTAGCCACCTGTGCTCTTAACCACATATACCTCTCCAGCTGCTCACTGAGTGTCTCCAGGAAAGCATAAGTCCCAGGGCCTGGGCTTGGAGCCTTCTAACAGGTTGTGCACATGCCAGAGCACTGTTACATTCCCACTGTTTGGTTTTTCTAGACAAGGTCTCTCCAGCTCTGACTGTCCTGGAACTCGCTTTGTAGATAAGGCTGGCATCCATCTCCTAGGGATCCACCTGCCTCTGTCTCCCGAGCACCACCGCCAGACTACCTTTTCCGACTGTTAACCATAGTTATTCATGCCAGCCTTCTGGAGGTGGAGGCAGAGGACCGGGTTTTATGGTGTTGTGTTCGTGCTTCCATGTGGTAGGATAAGCCATGGAGATGTGGGAATCTGTCATCCCACTGTGTGTGTCCAGGGACCAAACTTAAGGTTACTAGGCTTAGCACTGTTTACCTGCTGAGCCATCTCATCAGCCCTCAAGGTCATTACATAGGGAGCTGGCTTGGGCAACATGAAACTGTCTCAAAGAAACCCTTCTAGAGGTGGGGTAGAGGTCACATAAGTAGCTTTGTATTGTTAACCTTCAAGTTTGGCAGTGCACCCCAAGTTGTAGATTAATGGGGGTATAGGTTAGGGCACAGCCAGGTCCTGGGATGATCTCCCTGACCAGAAGACTCTTAGCATTGGCCTTATTCTAGGGGTCTTCTAGGCAGCCTGGGTCCATCCCCGTCGGGGTCAAATCCATACCTAGCCCTGAGCAGATCTATGGGACAGTAGGGCCCCTCTTAGGTTTAGGTTACCAAGTGGCTCCCCCAGGCCACAGCTCTTAAGTCACACCTACCGGTCAGCTTGGGATAAGGTCCTGCTCCCTCTGCTCCATCAGACAAGGCCCACTTACCTCTGCTACCGACAGCACTTGGGAGCGTGAGGGTGGGGTGGAGTCCTTGCTGGCTCCAGACCTAGCTCTGCTCCCAACTCACAGGGGATGAGAGCCACTCTGTTCAGGTTTGCCAAGGACTTAAGGGGTCCTGAGCACGGGAAGAGCCTAGGAGGGTACCAGACTTCTGAACCCCTCTGCTGTTAACAGCACTTGCCCTTGACCCAGCCAGTAAAACAGGACACTTTTCAATGGGGACTGCAGGCTCCTGGGAACCAGCACAGGCTCACCAAGTTAACTTTATCCCTCATGCTACTGGACAGATAGGAGACCAGATCATCTGCTGGGAACCAAGTTAACTTTATCCCTCATGCTACTGGACAGATAGGAGACCAGATCCTCCATCTGCTGGGGCCCCTGCCTGCTATCGGGATGTCAGCTCCACTTAGGCCCGTTGCCTCTAACGCAGGCCAGCGGCTAGATGCAGCCCCCGTTCCTTCCTCCAGTTTGCAGTATAGGTCAGTGTGGCCTAGCTGAATCTGTTCAAAGCATTTGGGGGAGTCCAGCTGTATTGCCCTTTTATAAACTCAGAAGGGACAGCAACTAGGGGCCACATCCTGCCAAAGTGGCAAAAGCGTCAAGCTGCCCCTACTCCAAAATAAGGCAGCTTCCCTAAGATGCATTCAGAACACCCATGTTTTATTTGCTCTGTAGTAGTGTTTATTTTTTGCTCTGTGGTTGTCTAAAGATAGCCTGTTTTATTGTTTGGCCCTTCTCCCCGGGGGGGGGGGGGTGCAGAGCTGGCAGCTCCAGGGTCTAAGGAACCATCTTCCACCACTTGAATGCAAATGGCACCCGGTGGATGATAACACAGGCACAGCTGTCTCCCATATTGGTCAGGTAGCAGTCAAAGTCATCGATGAAGGTGCACTTGAGACCCAGGGGCTCCAGTAAGTTGCAGACTTTCTCTTCCAGGCAGCAGGTGCCCTTGATTTGGGGCCCAAAGGGCTTGGGAATCCCTAGATTCTTGTCCAACACGATCATCTGCAGCTGTTAGACAGAGCTAGGGTCAGGCAGGATCAGGGCCCTGAAATAAAAGCCACCCCTGCCCTTCCTTGGGTGTGTGCTGGGGACGACACAGAATCAGATACAGGGGAAAACTACACTCCTTAGAGTTGGCCAAACTTAAGCCTGTGTCCATGTAGGCATTAACTAATCAACCTCAGTAGAGTTGGCCAAACTTAAGCCTGTGTCCATGTAGGCATTAACTAATCAATCTCAGTGAAATCTATTTGCTTAGTTTCCAATGTTTTTCTTAAAAAAAAAAACAAAAACAAAAACTGACCAGCAGCTAACCTTGCTGGCTTACCATATATCTGTCTCTGGATTTGTTGCTCTGGCCTTGTCTGCATACCCTGGCCCAGCCAGCTTTAAGGGGGGGGGGTCGCTCCATCCAGTAGTCCACCGGCAAACTTTCCCCACCATGCTCAGCTTTGTTCATTGATACCTATCTTTCTTAACCCATTCGTAGCAGCTTTGGTGCTAGCCACATGAACCTGGGGACTACATCAGGCAGGCTTCCATTTCAGGCCACAACCATCTGATGCCAATCTAGCACCGTGGCCAGCAAAGGCACCAGCAGTGTGGGCCAAGCAGACTGTCTGAACCAGGCATGCCCAGTAGCCCTCACCATGTCAGGGAAGTACGGTCTTGCGAAGAGTTTTGTGGTCTGTTGGTTGGAGGGGACGTTGGTCAGCAGCTCCAGGCAGAAGAGCTGTGGGATGGCAATGATGTCCTTCTCCATCAGGCCCAGCTCCTTCTTGAGGAGGGTACGGTTCAGGCTAATGCATTTCTGCACAACAGGGAAGGCGGGGAGAGACAGCGGGATGTGGACATCCAGAAGCCCTGCTCGTTTTCTACACAAATCCAGAGAAGACCTTGGAGCAGCTCCTATCAGGTTTAAATCCCGTGAGCCAGGAGCCCTGGAGGGCCCTGTGAGCTTTTCCTTAACATGTAGTTACAGCAGTCCCAAGAGAAGGCTGGGATGCAGGAGGCCAGGATCCCTCAGCTAGTCTGCTGGATAGCCACTAATGTCACAAAGCTCCCTGGGTCTTTCAAGTGAACAGGGTGTGTGTGGCTTGGGGGGAGGTTGGGGGGAAGAGACGGGACACACAGAAGTCTTCAGGTCCTTCTTTCACATCTAAGCAGCCATTCTGCCTACTCAACACACCCTCCCTGCTGACACCAACTTGACCCATGGTATCCAATTTCAGCTTCCAGTAAGGTCGAAACACCTGCCCTAGACCCCATCTGGTATCCCATTTGCCAGGGCAGGTGGTCCTCCCTGGTTCTGCAGAGGCCAGGGCACCAGTACACCATGGCATAGGGGTTCATGGTCTAAAAGTAGTAAAGACTCAATGAACAGAGCACCCCACTGCACCCCTGAAGTCTGGATCTGGGGCTAGGCAGCTGCCTCCACCCCAATAGGATCAGGGCCTCCCTACAAGACCTGCGGTGCCAGCACCCCAGGCCTTTACCTCCACGTAGTCATTCTGCTTTCGCAAGTTCTGATCAGCCAGGATTTGGGAGATGGTTCTGGCCTCCCTCCCTGCGAAAAGAAGAGGCCAGGCAGGGGACAGATCAGTGCCCAGCATGACCCAGCCGCTGGTGCATCTTCAGACCAGTGACTATATTGTCAGTCTCTAGACCCAGGTGTGGCTCCTGAATCCTACATCTGGTGCCAGCTAAGATATATACCACCAGAAGGCCCAGGCAGGATTTACTGCCACCAGCCACTGTGGCTCAAGGGAAAGCAAGGTCAGAGTGCATCAGTGTGGTGACGTCAGCCCCCACTAACTTAGATGGACACCTCAACCCTCTGTACGGCTGTGTTGCACCACACCTCCTCCCCCACCCAGGTGTGTAGCCAGGCGCCTTCTAGTGTGGCCCTCAGGCTCAATTCTGTTCAGGTTCCAGCCCAGAGGTGACAGCCTTTGCCTTCTGGGATTGTATCCCATGACCTCTCACCCAGTGAAAAAGTGTCCCTGGACCCTACCACAGAATGTTGCTCAGGAGATGGGTGGTACCCGAGTCTCTTAACCCAGGTTGAGAGAGTGTCCTGAGCCAGGCAGTGGTGGCGCACGCCTTTAATCCCAGCACTAGGGAGGCAGAGACAGGTGCATCTGAGTTTGAGACCAGCCTGATCTACAAGAGCTAGTTCCAGGATTTCCTGATGTCCCCACCTCCTTACTGGAAAAGTCAGTCCCTTTGTGTTCCCTTCATATTTAGCTCAGAAGGTGGCCTGGGTCACACCCTTGCCAGTCATCTTGCATCTCCTTAAGGGAGACCCGGGAGTGTCAGGTCACCAAGTGGCCCCAGGTCTGCCCTCTTCTGGTGAGGATGTCCCAACAGTGACCATTCCACCACCTCAGGATTTTCTGTGCCTTCGCTACCAATGACAAATGAGACCTCTAGACCAGTGGTTCTCAACCTTCCTAATGCTTCGACCCTTTAACACAGCCCCTCATGTGGTGACCCCTCAGCCAGAAGATTTTGTTGCTACCAGGATGATGTAAATATCCCACATGTGACTCCAGTGAAAGGGTCGCTCAACCCCTTCTGGGGTCTTGACCCACAGCAGGTCAAGAACTACTCTAGAAGGTACTAGGTGGCCAGGTGGTGGTGGCTCACACTTTTAATCCCAGGACTCAGGAGGCAGAGACAGAGGGATCCGAGTTTGAGGGCAGCCTGAGCTACAGAATTGAAGTTCCAGGACAGCCAGGGCTACACAGAGAAACCCGGTCTTGAAAGAAAGAGAGAGAGAGAGAGAATGAAGTTCCAGGACAGCCAGGGCTACACAGAGAAACCCGGTCTTGAAAGAGAGAGAGAGAGAGAGAGAGAGAGAGAGAGAAACCCTAGGTGAAGAAAAGTCACCTTTACCATTAGAAAGGAGCTGTTCTGCTCTGACATCTTCAAACAGGGTCACATCCCCAAAGCCTTCCTTCTGCTTCTGTTCAAACAGCTCATAGCAGGCACTGGGGCTGGCCATCAGGAGGCGGAAACCCTGGGAAGGGAGATGAGAGTCACTGCTGTGGGGGTCCCTAGGGTCTCCAGCAGATGCAACTTCTCCAGCCCCCAACACAAACCTTCCCGTCATTGTTTTTGTCCTTTACAGGGACAAAGCACATGAACTCATCCACGTGGCCGGTCATCAGCCAGTCTGAGAAGAGCTCCACAGGGGCCTGCACCTGCTGGGCACACACGAAGTCTCGCAAGGCCTTGCTCATGTCTCTGCCTTCGGAGCTGGGAGATTGGAAGAAAGCAGCCTTTGAGATGCTGGGGCTCCAGGCAGCTGCCCACCATTCCCTAAATCAGCCCCCCTCCAGGCTACAGACTGCTTTTGCCAACCAGTAGGGAGGCTTTAAAAATTTTCTGGGCCAACGAACTGGCTCTGAACATAAAAGTACTTATTGCCAAGCCTGGGGACCTGGATTGAATCCCTAGGACCCACATAGGGAACCGACTCCAACAGGTTGTCCTGAGCACTATGTTTACTGTGGTGTATGTCCACAGTAAACTTAGAAAGGGGTGTGTGTTTTCAGTAGCCCTTACTGTGATCTGGCTCAAGCCCAAATCATGTGATCAAATTGACTGAGCCCTGGACTACATGGTCTGGTTTTAGAGTTAATACCACCAACCCAACCCCATTGTTTTGTAAAAGTCATGTCTTCGGGGCCAATAGCCAACGGCCTAGTTGGATTTAAACCCAGGAAATCAAGTGTTTTTTTTTTTTGTTTTTTTTTTTTTGTTTGTTTTTGGTAGTTTTTGTGACAGGGGTCCCACAAGCTCAGGCTGGCCTCAAATCCATAGAGGCATGAATCAAGGATAAAAACCAGGACCTCCTGTTTGCTGGGCCAGCATACTCCCGCCCCAAGCTTGCTTTTACTAACTCCAACCTTACAACAACCAAAGGCTCGAATACCCTTCAGTGTAAAAAAAAAAAAAGCAGAGCATTTCTGCTGAGGGGGATTGTGACCAGTTTGATGGTGGCCTTCCCTTTAAGACAGCTGGTCACCTGCCAGCTGGTGTCCCAGCTCACCTGGGGTAAAAGCTGCCACCAATGAGGACCCTGCCTAGAGGGTAATCTTTGCCTTGAGCCTTGACCGGTGGGGATACTATCATGTTCCCGATGGAATCCAGGCTAGCCACTCCGTGGTCCTCAGTTTTGTAGGTCAGGTAGCCAACACCAGGACTCTAGGAGAAGACCCAGTGGGGAAAGGAGTGTTACACAGGTTACACAGGAAGGACTGGATGTAGGTCCAGTCGCAATCCTGACTGTCAGGTCCATGCATATCTCCCCTTCCTCACAGAGGCCACCTGGAAGCCCTGCCCCCAGCATCCCATCATCCTGGCTCAAAGTCAGGCTTGAAAGGTTCACTCTCAGAACCCAGAGCCTCACCAGTGAGTATTTCATGGGGAAATCCTCCAGCTTGGAAACCCGGGGTGTGTCGAGAATCAAGGACACTGTCTTGTGGGGAGCCTGAGTATAGCAGAAAGCCATCTCATCCTGGGGGAGACAAAGATGATCAACTCTTCATGGCTGCTTCCTCATCTGCTACACTGCTTCCTGGGAGCAGCCAGAAGAGAAACCTGGCCAGCGCCAGCTCAGCCCCCAAAACCGTCCCAGAGGCTTTGCCCAGCACATGCCTCCTTCCAGTTTAAGACAGACCCCCACCCCCACCACATTGGTCTTGTCAAGTTCTACTTAAAAAGCAATTCTTTCTGGTACCTGCAGACAGTCACTGTGATCTGACCTGCTCTATGACACCTTCTAGCCAGATCCAGTCAGAGTTCCCAGCCAAGGGACTTTTTTGGTGTGTGTGTAGATGGGGGCAGGGTGTCTTTTGAGACATCTCATGTAACCTTTAAAGTTACTATGTAGCCGAGGGCTGGTTTTGAATCCTGATCTGCCTTGCCTTGTCTCCAAGTGCTGGGATTACAGGTATGCACCAGCTCACATCCCAGTTTACACAAGGCTGGGAATTGAATTTGGGATTCTACTGACACTAGGCAAGCACTCCGAGTTACATACCTAACCCTTTACCTCTCAAATTCTGCCTTGTACATTTAGAACATCACCGCTCCCACCCCCTACCCTGCTTTGAGTTGACGTCTTGCTTTGCTGGGTCTCTTATTCCATGAAGCAACTGTTTACCTGTTCCTGATCACTCCTCCTCCTTCCAAGCACACCTCACATTGCAACCTCCAGGTCAATGGCACTGTCACCTGAAGAGCTGGTAGCCCCCATCACAGCCCCAGCAGCGCCTGGCTTATGACCCATCTGAAGGTTTTCTCAGCTACCTAAGTGACCTGCTTCAGGCTGTTGTGTCTGTCCCCTTTCGTCCTTCTCAGCACTTAGAGCTCAGGGCCCCGCTGGAGGGTACCTGGCCTTATTCATCCCTAGTCCCTGGTTGCACAACAGCCTTTGGTAAGTAAGTGCTCAGATGTGTTTGGAGCAGGAGGGCTCTCCAGAAATAAAGCCGAGCCATCTCTAGTCCTGCTGTTAGGCCAGGCACAAGCCCAGACTTGTAGCCCAGCTCCGATGCCTGCAACCGAGGTCTCAAATTAGTCTTGAAATGTGCTTGCAATCCAGGAGAGAGGGGCTGGACTCTAGATTTGTCCTTGACAAGCCTCAGTGATGCGCTGGCTTGCTGTGTTAAGGTCATCCTGTGGCATGTGCGCCAAGCCGCCCTGCCCCTCCTCCACAGCTAGAGCAGCCCAGGTGGAATGTCAGTTACCTGGAGCCATCTGCCCTGACGGCTGGGGTCCTCGTAGACAGAAGCCACCTGAACACTGATCTTCTCACTCAGCCTCGTCACTGTGTCCACAAAACCCTGCAGCTGCATCTCCCTGCCATGAGAGAGAAGCCCCACTGATTTCCTCAAGGTCCTTGAATAGGCCACACTCCCTTATCCCAGGGGACAGGCAAGGGAGAGGGCCACATTCTGCCCACAGTGTGAATGGAGCCATTGTCCCCCTACCTTGGCAGAGGTCATGGACTTAAGACTTTTTACCTAGACCATGCTGGCAACTGGTGATCCAGCTCCATTTACGGTTCACTCCTTTTGACCTCTGCACACACACGCTCTTTATTATGCCCTTGGATGGGCTCCTCCGAACTATTGGGTGACTGTTTGCTCCCCAAGAGATTATCAGAAACTAGGTAGCTCAAGATGACCAGGGAGGTCATCTGTGGGGCATGGGGATATGGGGACATCTGGACACCTGGGTTGGTTTTTTGAGACAGGGTCTCATTACTAGACTGTGGCCTGAGACTTGCTTTGCAGACCAGGCTAGCCCCAAACTCAGACTGGCCGGCCTCTTGTAACCCGAGTGCTGGGTGGGGTTCAAGGTGTGCACCACACCACACCTGGAAAAACTTTGGATTATAGCTCTTTCATAGAGAGGACCAAATTGTGGATCCACAGTGTACACCCTTTCCTTGGGTACAAAGTGACATTTGAAGGTTGGTGTCAAGACATCCAATTTAACAACCGGACCTCAAGAGTTGACTGCATCGTCGAGTCACAATTGGGGAAGTGTCCTCGCTCAGATTCTAGGCCAGTCCCACGCCAATGTTTATGTTGACATCCTATGCACTTCCAGAGTCTCTGGCCAGCATGCTAGTGACACTCCCTCCTCCCCAGGTGGCCTCAGACACTCTTACCTGCACAGGTAAACCTCGAGAGGCATCTGGGTGCTGGGAGTGAAGATGTAAGGCGCAACCCGGAACATCACTGTGTCTTTGTATAGCGGCATCTCCGGGATTGACTGCAATGCAGGACAGGTCTCCATGGAGACCTGGCTCCATCTGCCCCCTTCCCTCTTAACACACCCAAGGTCTGCAGCTGATCAATCTCAACCCATCCCTGGATTGAGAAAGGGTTGAGAAATCTTAACACACCCAAGGTCTGCAGCTGATCAATCTCAACCCATCCCTGGAGTCCACTGCCTTCCAGCTTTCTGCAACACCCGAGCTGTACTGAGAGCCATACTCTGGGTGTCCAGCCACTACTATGGCTCTCCCTCCACCGAGCCCAGGGATCCTCACTGACCAGGCAGCATACCTTGTCATGAGACTTTTCCACTAGGGATATGGAGAAGGAAATCAGGCCTGCGAAACTGGCAGACGGGAACTCTATGGCTTCAATGTAGAAGGTCTCTTTCCCTCGGTTCTCAAAGGGAGCCAGGACATGAACAGGCTTGCCAGGTCCGATTACCAGTTCATAGGTACAAGTGGTGGTGCCTTCTAGGAGAGAGAAAGGGGTGACCAGATGCTAGAGCTTGCAGCTGCTTTCTCTGTCCCAGGTGGGCCAGCACAGCAGACTTGTGATCCCTCAGGACATGAGAGGGTTCAGGGGTTGCCAGCACTGTTAAGAGTGACTTAATGCACCATCGCACTGTACATACTGTGGGTGTTTGCATGTGTAGGCCAGAGGTTGGCACAGGTGTCCTCAATGACAGTTTTGAGACAAGGTCTCCTTCACTGAACCAGGAGCTTACCGATTCAGCTAGAGTGGCTGGTCAGGAGATTCCCAGCACACATGTTGCAGGCTCACAACCATTCTGACTCTGGTTTGAGAACCTCATACCCCCTTTGTGGGCCTCTGCAGTCACCAGGTACATAGTGAGTACATAGACATAAGCAGACAAGACGCCCATACACAAATTTAAGGTTTTTTGAAGATGGATCTTCCTAGGAGTTGTTACTTGGAAGATAAGTAACTAACATATCTGTAAGGCATCTTATGGGCTCAAATGTATTCCCTCCTTTCCCAGCTAAGAGAATCCTGCAACCATACACCATCATCTCCTGGATGGAGATGATGGAGATGATGATCCTGCCATTAGCTGGGATGGCTAACTCATGGTAATATGCATGAATTAACTCTAGTAAAGGTGGCAGCCAGACAGCCCCTGTAACATAGATCTGCCACACAGCCTGTGACCTATGACCCTGGGCGCCATGTTAGAGGTGGTGTAGGGCCACCACTTGACCAGCAGGCTGAGGTGGAGCAGGGTTGGACTTACTCTGGGACAAGTAGACTCGTGCCTTGCTCGCCTCTTCCTTAGAGGTATGGAGGATCAGCATGTAGTTCTTAAAGACAGAGGTGGGGCCCTCCACCGTCAGAGTCATCTGAGACAGGTTCTGTATGTCTGGGAAAAAGGATGGACACAGACAGGTTCAGGCCAGTCTCCGGGATGGCAAAGTGAGCAGCAGGGATCGGGGTGGAAGTTACATTGAGTCTTGTTTAGTAGTCCAGGCTGACTGAACTCCGTAATTCCTCTGTCTCAGCCGCCCAGGTGCTGGGGTGACAGGTGTGAGCTATCATGTCTGGCTGTAAGGCTTATCTGAAATCCTGTTTCCTGGGATGCTCAGTGTCCCCAGCCTGAAGGCACCTCCTGGGCACTGGAGAGGTTGTCACACCCCTTTTACAGGATCGAGTGTTCTCACCACCTTGGGAGGGCAACATCTCATCTCTACCCTTAGAGGGCAGAACGAGGCTCGTTCACAACCAGGAAGTTAATGGGTTGCTGTCCGATATAAAGACTGCCTTCATGAGGACTGAGGGTGTAGCTCAGCTGGTGGAGTGCTTGCTTAGCTTGCACAAAGTCTGGGGGGTGGGGATTGGGAGGTTCAATCCCTAGCACTATATATAAGTGCTGTGGTGAAGCACGTTTGTAATCCTCAGGAATTAGACACAAGATAATCAGAAGTTCAAGGCCAGCCTGGGCTACATGTGATCTTAGTCTCTGAACACACGGAGGAGGGCTGGAGGGTTGGCTCAGTGGTTAAGAGCACCTGCTCTTCCAAGGGATCTGGGTTTGACTCCCAGCATCAGTTTTCAGGTGGCTTACAACCAATCGCAAATTCCAGTTCTAGGAGATCTGCTGCCCTCTGACTTCAAGGGCTCCAGCACACACATGGTACACACAAACTCATGTAGACACAAGTTTTTTGAGATAGGGTTTCTCAGTGTAGCCCTGGTTGACCTGGAACTCACTAGACCAGGCTGGCCATGAACTCAGATCTGCCGGCTTCTGCTTCCCAAGTGCTGGGATTAAATGAGTGTGCTACCACAACCTGGCTATGAAGATTTTTTTGAGACAGGGTTTCTCTGTGTAACAGTCCTGGATGTCCTGAAACTCACTGTGTAGACCAGGCTGGCCTTGAACTCACAGATCAGTCTGCCTCTGCCTCCCAAGTGCTGGGATTAAAAGGTGTCTACCTACCACTGCCCAGCTATGAATAATTCTTTTAAAAACTACACACCTTTGTATGAAACCATATGGCCTCTCATTATACAACTTCAAGGCATAAAACCCTTTGGTATGCCAGTAATGTCACCAGGACCTCTGTGCATGTTAAGTAAATGCTTTCCTATGGAGTGATACACTCCCAACTTATGATAAAAGACTTGGTCACCCCTGAGGAATCAGCTGTGACCTGCAATATGGGCTGAGGAATGGCCAGAGCTTGATAGAGGTGGGAACATGGAAAAGGTGTACCTTTGGGGGCTTCCTGATCACTGGACTGGTCATCAAGATCCTCTGTTTCAGCAGGATTACAGTTCACCAGCAGAATGGCTCCCCAGCCGTTCGGGCCCCACACCCATCTTTTCTGCAGATGACAGGGACATTGAGGCAGGAAAGACACAAACAAACCCTCTGCTTCTTGTATGCAGAGCTTTGTACTCACAGTCCCTGGGGACCCAGGGGACAGTTTAAGATGACCTGGGGGAACAGAAAGCTTCTGGATGAATAAATACAGGTTACAGATGCTGCCTGGTTTCAGGAATGCAGGTCCAGAGAGGCATGCTGCAAGAGCTGTGTCCCACCAGAGGTCCAGGGTGGCAGAGCCGACTCTGCTGTAGCTGGCTATATAACCAGGCCAGTGCCTCGGGACACCTTGCTATTTTGGTTTTGCTTTGAGACAAGGTCTTGACATGTCTTTGTCCTCCCAGTACTGGGTTGGCAGGCAGGCGCCACCACAATCTGGCTCTGTTTTGTTTGAGACAGCATCTACTCTAGCCCAGGCTAGCTTGTAATTCCCTGTGTATCTGAGAATTGCCTTCAATGCCTGATCTTTCTGCTTCTGCTTCATGGATGTTGAAAAGGCACATCCCATCACACCTGGCTTTTTTCAGGAGTCGGAAATCCATTTCATGGACCCCGACTTGTATAGCAGTGATAAAGACGCCCTGGAAGTCCGATAAAAATGGGCCCAGGGGTCAGGGCTCCCTTGGGCCCAGCCTTGCTCCCTCGACCAGGCATGCCTTACCTTAGCCTGCTTGTCACTTGGCATGTCCAGCTGTCCATCTCGGTAGATGTCTGCCTCCAGGGAGATCTCTGAAGGGGAAAGGGAAGATCTCAGGACTGCTTGCTAATGGGGCCCAGAAACTCCAGTGGTCCTCACAGGACAAGCCCAGTCTTAGGCTGCTGAAAGCCTAATGGGGTATCTTAATGTCAAGAAATTCAGCATCTTCAAAATTCACGCTGGAGACCCACACCGTGAGTCAGAGTTAAGTCACATATAAAGAAGTCCCAATTGTCTTGAGTGATTTTATATTGGGACATATCCATAGCTATATTGGGCCACAGGTTGGACACTCCTAGTGAGGCAGTGTCCCCAAAGGCAGACTGGTTCTCATGAATAAGTTAGGGAGGGAGCCCCCTCCCCCTCCCCCAATCACACTGCAGAGGTCAGACACCAGTTGTGATGTGACCCCATACTTCCAGCTTCCATCAAGCAATTGCAACAAGGAACCTACCTCCCCCCTACCCTTCTAGAACAATCTTCAAACTTGAAGATACACAAGGATCAATACTGAACTTCTTGAGAACTTAAGCGTGCCAGACTTCTGCCCAAAAGGCTTCCTAGGGGACTACCCTCTTGTGGCATTCCAGTGTCCACCCCTACCCCTTCCTACACAGCTCAGATCCCTTCAACTTTACCTTAGTGTCACTCCTAGATCTTGTGTGAAGTGCCATTCCCACCTGGAAGGTCAGGGCCATGAGCCCCGCCCTGGCTTGCTGCTGCACCCTCAGCACCCAAACTATCAGCGTGGTGTCCTATTGCCCACAGTGAGGCTGGCTGCTTGGAGTAGAGCAGTGTGTAACACTTGTCATTTGGGAGCTTATAGTTTAATGTCCATAGAGGTTGGCTGTAGCTGATCATAGTGTGTTGTGTTCATTGACCGAAGCATGGGCCCGGGGACGCAGGGACTAGGGAGTGGAGCCAGGTGTTTGTCTCAGTAGTCAAGGGGAGCCTATATAAACTGACATCTAAAGCCCTGAAAGAGGCAAAAGATCCCCGATATCTGGAGTAAAAGGTACCAGAATAGGAAATAATTACCAAGTGGCAAGTAAAAGGGTCAAAGAAGCCACTAGTTCGAAAAATAGAAAGGGCAAGAAAAAAAGAAAAAAAGACTCAAGCGTCAGAGTTATCTGGATGACTTCATGGAGGACTTATAGACAGTCATGACTTTGACTTTGGGTTTGATTTGGGTCCCACAGAAGCTGAAGAAAGCCTGGGAGAACCCAGGTGCTGTCATCCGACATCTTCCTAAAGATATACTCTGGTTATGGGATAAAACCACAACCAGACCCACAGAATGGCAAGAAGCCAGGTGCCCCGTTGGAGACCTGGGTAAACATTGAGGATGGCAACTGGGACAGAACCGCAGAATCCTCAGTCTGGCTTGAAGAGTCCAAGATTTAGATTGACATGGAGTCCAAGAAGATGAAGGGCAACACCAAGGTGATGAGCCTGAACACCCAGAAGGATGGAGCGGTGTCTGCTGTGATGCGGAAGCTATTAGCTTCGGGAGACGGATGCAGTTAAGAGCACTTGCTGCTTGTGTGGAGGACTCGAATTCCCAGCATCCACATGAAGCTCACAACTACCGCCCACGCGAGAGTTTCAGATGACCAATACCTGTCTGACCTCCAAGGACATCATACACTGTGAGGCACATGAGCTAAACACATATGGAATTAAAGGAGATAGCCTCGGGGCAGGGTAGAGAAGTCAGTCTTGTTTAGGACCCATTAAGTTAGACACATAAGCTGTGCGATGCTCATGAATCTTTGGGGTCACGTGGGTAGAAACGGTGTTGGGAGTTTAGAGAGGAAACACTTTGGTGGACATCTGGGGGGGGGGTGAAGGCTCTGCAAAGGGCCCCTGGAAAGGATCAGAGAGCTCTCTTGATAAGTTTCAGGTGACAGGATGACAGGTGTGTCTACCACCACCAGGTCAAGGCAGAGAAGGCAGTGGCCACCTGGTTCTTACAAAGCAGCTACAAGATGGGGCTGGAGAGATGGCTCAGCTATGAGGAACTCTTACTGCTTCCTCGGAGGATCCGAGTTTGGTCCCAGTGTGCATCAAACTTCTCACAACTACCTATAGTTCTAGTCCAGGGGCATCTGGTCCCCCACTCCCCCCAGCCTCATGTGCACTCACATGAAGTATAATGCCTTCTTAGACCAGTAAGTTGCCAAGGGAAGAGATCTACAATGAGAGGACACAGGAGCTTTGGACCAGACGGTCAGTGATAGTGAGGAAGGGGCCAGATAACTCATGCAGATTCCATCCTCAGGAAATGAAGGAAGAGTGACTAAACTCGGAGGGCATGTGTGTGGATGCCTCAGGTCCAATAGGAGGCATTTTATATACGAGGAGCCTCTCCCTAGCTTGGCACTGCCTGCCCTGCTCTCCAGAAGGCTGGACGGACTTCAGCTCCTAGAGGCAGCAAGACTCACCAATGCCTGTGAGGTACAGCACAGCTGTGGCCGTGGGAACCTCTTTGTCAGGACTGTAGAATGAGATCAACACCTGTGGAGACAGTGTGAAGAATCTGTAAGGGCTGAGAGCAGGAGCCCAGCGCCAGAGCCACAGACTGGAGTCCAAGCATTTGACCGTGGCTTTGTGCTCAAGCATCTAAAACTTCCAGTGGTCCACGGTGAGCTGGCCCAAGGGCCTCGAACACTTAAAACTTTTAGTGTCTCACAGAAGTTGCTTATGCTGGCCTTAAGCTTATTCTGCTGCAGAGCTTGTACTTTTTATCCTCCTCCCCATTAACAGGGCTTAATAAGCAGGCACCATTAGGTCCAGTTTACATCCTTGGTTCTGACCTAACTCAAGGCACAGTGTTTACTTATCCAAGTGGGCCTCCTGCCTCAGGAAACTGCCTGCCCTAGACACAGATAGGCAGGTTCCACCCACTCACCATCCCATACTGTGTTTTGTTCCCTGCCCACAGACAGCTGCAGCTGGCCTATCGCCAATGGGCTTCAGCTAGGCTTGCAGGCTTCCATACTGGGATCACCTGAGTAGGTAAGGGTTACCCATCTCCCCTCCCTGGCTCACCTTGTCCTCATCCACATCGGGGCTGGGTGACACCATTCTCACCAGGGCCTCTGTGGGCTGGGTCATTGGTTGCCAGACCACTGCATCCGCCTTCCCAGTAATGACTGAGCTGGAGATATGGATCAGGACCCTGGGGGAGCCACGGATGGTGAAGGACTCGCAATTCTTGGGTGCACACCTGGTTTGCCAGAGACACACATTAGAGATGCAGGGACGCATTAGCTTAGGAGTCAGTCAGGCTTAAGGACATCCTGCCAATCCTCATCCATCTCATAGGATTGAGGAAGTGGCCTGCTAGTCAGTGAAGTTTGGGGGGCCCGAGTGTCTTCAGCTATTCTCTTACCACACCTACCACCCCAGACTTCCATTCTCCCTCTGATGATTTCCAGCCCAACCTTGCCTTCCCACCAATGCCTCACAAGTGATCAAATTTTTGTTTTATATACAGCTCCCTTGCATGGCAGGACGAGCATACAAGAGAACCACAAACAAAACATCCCCTCACCTACTCCTCATGGCCACGTCAAAGCTAAAGGGGCTCTTAGGAGCAAGGGGCAGAAGAAAGCAGGAAGTCAAGAGCCTGTGGTGGGACTGAAAGGGCCATCCCACCCCCACAAGACCAAGCCAGATTCCCAGAGGCCAGCCAGTTCAGCAGAGAGAGCTAAACTAACCTTAGATTCCTAGGCACAAGGACTCTACCCAGACCATCCTTTCTAGGGACCTCCGTCAGAGGTCCTCAAGACTTACCCACTGATGTCCAAGGTGATTTCCGTGCCCAGCACACAAATGGCATGGGTGGGGCTGTCCAGGGACAGGTTCACGGTACTCTGGAAAGACATGGCAAGGATTTCCAAGACGGCCACCCTTAGGTGCAGCTCTTACCTACCAGAGCAATTGCCTAGGGTGCCCGTGCCCCCTGGCCTTCCTCTTTAGTAGAGTAAGGAATGCCCCGCCCCGTTCCACCCGCTTGTTAAGGGTTTACAGCCTCAATCCCACCCAGGTGAGCCTGCTTTTCCCTCTGGTAGCTGTGGGAGGTGCATGGGAGGAGGAGACCCTTTCAGTCAGTATCAATGTTTTGCAGCTGCTGCCTGTGGACTCTGCAGCCCTAAGGAATCAGACGCTAATCACTTGGAGTTCTGGCCTTCCACTGGGAGCAAGGAGCCTTCTGGGAAGTTGGAACCTGTATGGACCAAGACACTAGCAGACTCTGCTAGATCTGCCAGAGCGGAGGTCTCCAGACATAAGAGGCTGTGGTCAGGGTGCTATATCTCAAGGTTGGGGGGGGGGGTCATGGTTCTAGGACAGTGGTTCTCAACTTGTGGGTTTCGACTCCTTTGGGGTTGCATATCAGATATCTAGACACGAGATGTTTACACTGCAATTCATAACAGTAGCAAAATTACAGTTATGAAGTAGTAACGAAATAATTTTATGTTGAAGGTCACCACAACACGAGGGACTGCAAGAAAGGGTCACAGCAGACAGGGCAGTGGTGGTGCACACCTTTAATCCCAGCACTTGGGAGGTAGAGGCAGATGGATCTCACTGAGTTTGAGGCCAGCCTGATCTACAAAGAGAGTTCCAGGACTAGCCAGGACTGTTACACAGAGAAGCTGTCTAGAAAAACAAAACAAAGGGTCACAGCATTAGAAAGGTCACTGCTCTAGGATGTCTGCTACTTGGCAACCGATGGAGGGGAGGGCTTGGCGAAGCGTTAAGGTCACAGCTGGGGAAGCTGGTTATTTCTGTGAATCCCTGGTCCTGATACAACCTACATCATTTTCCTGGTGATACAGGTGAGCCAGTTGCTCACAGCTGTGTCTCCTGCTAGCACAGGGGTGGGGTGGGGTGGGGGATGGGCGGCACCAGCTGGTGCATGGTGTAAGCCTGTGGAGCCTTGCTTACAGCTGTGGTCCATCTAAGCCCACAAGGCAGAAAGGAAAAGTTTTAATTATTGTATATTTCAAAATTGCTAAAACAGGGGTCAACATTCTCATGCCCTCCGACAAGTTGCCGGGATGACAAGTCTAACAGTGGTCCATGGTCTCTCAGTAATGCACACCCAGGCCAAACGACTAAGCCACGTGTGGTGGTGGTTCCTGCTTGTCAGCTGGTTCAGCACTCAGACTGAGGCAGGAGGATTTCTGCGAGTTTGAAACCAGCCTGGGTTACAGAATGAAACCCTGTTTCAAAACCCACAAAATATCATACTGCATTCCACAGTATACGTGTTTGTTGTTAGGGGGGAAAAAAGCCAGCTGACGTAAGACCAGCCTGTGCTCATGGAGGGAGTTCAAGGCTAGATTGGGAAATTCAGT